TAAACTCGCCATATTTTATGTAAATTAGCTTTAATTTGAATTCTTTTACACTTGCCCACTAAGCTAAGGAAGACTTTAAGATAGGAGACCCCTTAAGCACTACACAGTACTCAAACGCAGTGGCCTCCAGGTTAATTTTAAAGGAAAGAACGTTTTCTGGGATTGTGTTGTTTGTTTTTCATTTCCAATTTACTTAGAAATGCCTTTTTTAAAATTTTCATATGTTATTCCAAATTGATTTCCATAGTCCAAGAGAGAAAAACCTCTCATTTTTCCCCCAAGATAGAACATTATGATTCTAAAAGTTTTAAAAATCCCAATTTATATTTTCTACAAAGCTATTTCTTATTATTATATGTATGTTATACAGATATAGAGATTCCTCTTTCTTTTACATTCCAAACAACCCAAATACCTTCTGAAAAACACAACTCTGCGTGAGGAAAGGAAGCCTTCATTTTCTAACCAATAAACTACAACATACATCACAGCTATGGTGTGCAGGACAAGGACTCAGGGCATTCATTTGCATATCAAGAAGGCAGGATTTAAGATCTGAGGTTCTGTCCCTCATTCTGCAGCTTCCTCACTGTGAACTGTCAGGCATGTTACCACATAGCCATGCCCAGACTTAAGTGTCTGTATAATGATTAGAATAATGTTCCACTTCCTCATCAGGGGGCTCCAAAGCTCAGCCAATATTTACACAATGCTCCTAGGTGCCTATTTAGCAAGCTGCAGGCCACGAAGACAGAAAACAACATCAGCCTTCCAAAAATAAATAAATAAATAAAATGCAGGCAATGATGGGCATAAATAAGCTCTGGGTCTATTGTTTAAACGCCAGCCCTGCAAAATGGGTACTGGTTGTTTCTCTCCTTTAATTTAATACCCTTAGTGATTCAAAAATTTAGTTTGGGAGGAAAATGTCAAAATTTCAATCATGGGTGCCTATGCATGGTAGAATTATGGACTTTTTGGTTTTTTCTTCATAGTGGTCTGTACTTTCTAAATTGTGTACAAACACATTACTTTCATAATTTAAAAAATAGATAGTTTTTTTATTGTAAAAGATTTGTTTTAAAAAAGAGAAGGTAAGTATGATAGAATGAATTATTGGTCCTCATTCTTCTCTTCGTTCTAGTAGCATTATGTATCTGCAGCCTTGCCAACGTGTCAAGGTGGAAGGAGTGTATTTCTGCCCCTTGACTCTGGGCTTGACCACGTGGCTGGCCTCAGCTAAGAGAAAGTTAGCAGAGATGACACCAGCAGAGGCTTAAAATGTGCCTATGCAGGTGGACTTGCCCTCTTATGCTCCTGCCTTTTACCAGGAAAAGACAACAGCTTGGGTAGCTGCTGCCCTAAGAAAGAAGTCAGACACATACAACTAATCTAGACCCAAACTGCTTCCTGGAACCAAGCCCAGTGGAACCCAGACTGGGCTCCAAACCCCAGCTGACCTACAGCCACATGAACAAGAAAGAAAGACATTGTTATCTGCCATTGAGATTTTTGTGCTTCTGTAGCATTATTGTTGCTATTGATGTACCACAGAATGCCACAAAAAAAACTCAGGGGCAAAAACTGTCTCATGGATTGAACTGCAGGGTATAAAAAAGGCCATAGCATCCTTCAGATGCCCATTTATAAAGGGATCCTAGACAACCATCATCTAGTTTGAGAAAATTCCTTAGCAGACAGTAATTGTTTTCCTTTCCCTCATTAAATATACAATTATTAAATTACAGTTATAGTAAGTCATATGCAGCATGGGATACTATACAGGATTTCCCATTAAAAATAAGTTGTGAGCCTCTTTCAACATTAAAACATATTTTTCTACATGATTTTTAATGTTTATAATTGTTTTCCATTCATGTGTATACCATAATATTTTTAATCAATATTCTTTGGTAGATATTTAAAGGATATACAATTTCCATTATTATAAATGGAGTGATCTAAATATAACTAAAGTTAATACTCTGCACATACTCACGATTATTTCCTAGTGATGAATTCTGAGAAACAGAATTGCTGGGTTAACAAATGTGTACATTTTAAGGTTTTAATGTATTAATTGCCTAGTTTTAATTTACTTTTGTAATTAAGGGTCCAGGAGCCCTACAGTTTGAGTCAGCCCCGAATTCCAACTGAGCAAAGATTCTCCCACCTAGGATTCACTCTGATTAATCCTGCTGGAATTTAGAGTTTATTTTTTAACCTATTGGGTACCTACTATGCTAGGAACAGTGCAGTGGTCATGAGTATGGACTCGGAAGCCACAATGCCTGGGTCCAAATCCTGGCTCTGCTGCTTACAAGTACCAGGACGTTGTGCAAGATGGTCAACCTGCCTGTACCTCACTGTCCTCATCTGTAAAATGGGGATAAGAGCACCCTCATAGGCACATAGAAATGTTGTAGCGGTTAAATAAGTCAAATAAATGTAATTCCCTAAAAACAGTGTCTGCCACACAGTAAGCTTTTATGGTTAGCTATCAATATTATTATGGGAAAATAAATTATTAGATCACAGACCTTCTCAAAGAACTAAAAGTTTAGTGAACTTTATCAAGGATAATTGGGTGACAAAATTTTCAAACTATAAACTACAACTTTACAAACTTTTTTTTAAGAAAAGTAGAATACTGACTAAGAAAATATCCTCAGATTAAAACAAAATTAGTCAATGGGAATGTGGGTGGTCTTTAACAGAATAGATCAGAAATAGGCTTCAGGAAGCAAAACCAGTTTGATTTAATTTAAATTTAGCAACAGGGTATGCCCCAAGGTGGAGGTCACATGTGATTATTTACAGTTGCCTAAAACTAGTGGAAACCACATTTTTTAAAGATCAGGGATAATGTTATCTTCTCTCTGCTCCAACACCTGACATTAGCCTGAAATGAATACAGTGCTTGCCACAAAGTAGAATTCCAGTAGATAAGGATACCAAACTGATTTTCATGAGCCCATGCTCTCCATCAACTCCAAATCCCCCCAAATTCAATAAGTTACATACATAATACTAATAGCTGCCCATCACTGAGCTAAGTGCGTTGCATATGTTATTTCATTAAATCCTCTGCTAAGCTATCTGCAGGACCAATTAAGAATGTTTTCTCATATTCCAATACTACTTTCAAGGAACTGTTCTCAAAAACAGGCTTTTAAGCTCTTCTGAAGACTATTAAACATTTAAAAAATTATCTGACCAAATATTTAATTACCAAAAATAATTGTATAGTGACCTAATTGTGAAAGGATAGAATTGCTAGAACTGTTAAGATTATAAAATGGCAATCAAGTCCAGCTTTTTTTTTTCTTTAAACTAATGACCAAATTTCATGTTTTAGGTCATATATCTTCATCAAGAGCTATATACCCTTGCATTATTTTAAACATTTAAGTAAACTGGTTTAGCATAAATGAAGAAAACAATTACTACCCCTCTTATTTGTCAAAAATAGTTCAATCAAGATAAGCGAATTCCCAAAGTGAAATTAATAAACAAGGGAGTGAGTTTGACAACCTTTAAGGTTTAATTTCCCTATCTATAAAAAAAGGATTAGATTAAATAATCTTTAGGATCTCCCACTTAAAAAAGCAAATAGCCTGCATCTATAAAAGGAAAACAAAGAAAAATATCCTAACAAGCATGAGAAGAACATCAGTAAAACTCAAGTGAAAACATCTGCCTTAAACTCGGTGAAGTGCAGCAATTTTTTGATGAATTTCTTCCCCTTGGCCTGAGATTGGTTTCACTCCCCATCCCAGCCATGTGCCGTGCTGGGTCAAATGTTCCAGACTCACTGATCATGTGGCAGAAGCAGTTCTGTTCCCAGAAATTTCATCTTCAAAAAGTCAAAATCCATAATTCTCCCCAAAAGATGTAGTTCAACTTATTTTTGAACTGGCAGATAAGACTGTCATATATAGAGAAAACTTTGTTTCGGGATTTAAAAAACAGTTAAATTCCTGCAAAACACTTATACTTAGCAGAAAAAGCACGAAATAATAGAAATCTAACCTTTAGTGATTTAAAGTTAAGTTTGATGACAAAATTTTAAATAGTGAATGATTTTTTAAAGAGCCATGCTTTAACTTATCTTGACTATTTTTCATGTCAATAAGAGTCATTTGTGTGTTTGCTGGATTTGAAAATATTTTAAATTAAGTAATTAAATTGTAACAATGCAATTAAGAAATGGGTGAAAGATTTGAACAGATACTTCATAAAAAAAGATATATAAATGTCCAATAACCATATGAAAAGATGTTCTACGTTATCTAGTCATCAAGGAATTACAATGAAAACCACAATGCAATATGACTATGTACCATTAAAATGGCTAAAATTAAGAAGACTGGCAATGTCACAGGTTAGGAAGGGTGCAGAGCAATTGGATTGCTCATCCATTGCTGGTGGGAACGTAAAATGGTACAATTTTGGAAAATACTTTTGGCAGTTTCTCATAAAGCTAAATACACACTACTGATACACACAACATAAATGAATCTAAGAACATCATACTGAGCAAAAGAAATGAGACAAAAGAGTATGCACTGTATGATCCATTAACATAAAACTCTTAGAAGATAAATCTAACCTATAGTGACAGAAAGCAGATCTATGGTTTCCTGGGGCCAAGGATTGGGGGAAGGAGGTGAAGGGTGAGATTAACTAGGAAGAGAAGAGGGAACATTTTATCTGTTGATCGTGATTGTAGTACAGTTGCATATAAATTTGCCAAATCTCATCCATATGTACACTTTAATTGGGAACAGTTTATTGTATGTAAATTATATTTCAGTAAAGTTTACTAATAAAACCCTCATTGTAACTGCTTTCTAGATTGGATGAAGTTTTACCCAATGGTCTGCAGAGAAGCAAGCCCATTCTGAAGCAAGCTGATGCTCACAGGTGGAACTCCACGGCCATGCAGGACCTGTAAATCAAGCCGATTCCTTCTCCTCTACAAGCCACCCACGACTCACCAGTCAGAGCCCCTCCCAGGCTCCCTCGTCGCAGCTGTCTTCCATCCTCACTCAGCTGTCTTTGATACTTCAGTGACTTTCCAGGGCTAGAAGCCACATCTGGGTTGCTGCATTTCCGAAAAGGCATGGGTGGAGGGGATAATATATGGTCAAGCTGCAGAGAGAAAGAACGGCATCACTTGCTGGGGACACTCAACACAACCCAGAACAAAAGACCAACCACTCACACTTTCCTCCTTGCCTTCCCTTCTCTACACCCCTTTCTCCCAGCCCTGTTTTTAGTTTGGTTACTTTAGAGAATTTAGGATTTCACTGTTGTACCTTCCATCTGATGGAGAGTCTGGCTTGCTGAAAAATCTCAAAAGCAGTGTTTTTCAAGCTACAGGTCACAATGCATTAATGGGTCATGAGATCAAATTTAGTAAATTATAACCAGTATTTTTTAATGGAGCAGAATAGAAATTATCAGGTTCCAATGAAGAAAGGGAAAACACTGTTTCATAAAATTTTTGATTCCATCATACACGTATGTGTGTATGTGTGTATGTGTGTGTGTATGTATCCTGGGACACTATATAAAATACACTGGTCTGTGAGCCATGATTCCCCTCCCCCCCAAAGAAATGAAGAATACTGCTGTACAGAGAAGCAACAGATCACTTCTTTAGTTGCTCACAAATATACATACAGGAGAGAAATTTCTAAGCACCATAGACCTTAATGGAAATCAATACATCCCTACATCACTGTATAGCTTTCTAAAAGAAAACCTGTCACAAGAATCAGAGAAACCAAAATCAATTCAAGAGACAGCTTTCTACAAAAGAACCCCTTGTGTCACACACTTTTTTCAAGATCTGCCCTGCTTTTATAAGAAAACCTTTCATACCTGAATAGTGCCATACCTTCTCAAATGTTCACCTTCAAGTAAGTACATGTGCATATATATATATATATATATGTCTAGATAGCTATTAAGGACAAAAATATTCATGTGCAGATGTGAAAGATTTGGGTAACATTGCTTAAAGCTAGGCATTTTAAGGAATGTTTCACTGAGATTTATTTTGTTTTCATGGGAAAAGAGGTGGTCACCTGGTTATACCTGCTTGAATTTTTTCATATTAAGACTATCATGAATGTATTTATAGGAAGAAAAAATTCAGGGACTAGATCATACATTTGCCTTTTTATGCACTATAGCATATCCAAAATCATTTTACAAAAAGAAATCTAACCCTGCTCATCAGTAACCTCTCCCAAGTTAGCTGAGATAGAACAGACTTCACTGGCTTAGGTGTTACAAGATGTCAACTACCCCCCCCCCCCCCCCCCCCGTCAAGTGTATTCATTAGTAACACCAAACAGCTGGATTTCAAGCATTTCTCAGTAAGTACCATCTCAAACTCACTGCCAGTCAGTGTTTTAGTGAGAGGCTCTTGAAGAGTCAGCAGTCCATCCACTCCAGGATCAAAGCCAGATCAGTAGGGAAAAGGGATTCCAAAGTGCACTTTTAAAAGAAACAGCCCTTTCAAACAAGGAGTTATATGTATCTCAAGGTATTTGTTGAGGCTGGTGTTCATTACATCAGTGCCCTACCTAGGAGGGGCTCCAAGGAGGAATTTTTTGTCTAGCCTCAGACATTTTGCCCTTAAAATCTCATAGACAATGGGTTGTAGCCAGGGAAACCTAACAGCTACCCATCAACTACTAGAAAATGCACAAACCAATCAGTGGTTCAACTGTAGTCAGATACACAACGCAGAGGCTATTTTTGCCTCCTCCTTGGTTCTGGTTTATGTCCTTACCCCAGATTTTTTTTTTCTTTTTTTCTGCCTTTTACTTTGAAATTTTTCAGAAGAAAATTTGCAACTACAGAAAATTTGTATGAATAGTACAATGAACAGCCATATGCCCTTTACCGGTGGTAAACTGTTAACCCTTTGCTACACTGCTTTTTGATCTCTCCTCTCTCTACACACACGCATGCACACATACACAGTAAATGTCAAGTTGTGGACATTTTAGATCTTCACCCCTAAATACTTCAGCATGCCTCTGCTACAAACAAAGATACTCTCTTAAATTCTCCTATCCTGTATTTTACATATTCTTGTAAGATGTCTCAAATACTTTGTGATTAAGGTAAAGTATAAATACTAGTAAACATATAAAATAAGGTTATATCATGTATACTAAACATTAAAAAACTGCTCTTTTACATTACAAGGAAAATTTACAGCCACAAGGTGGCAACAAGGTAAAGTATAAATACTAGTAAACATATAAAATAAGGTTATATCATGTAGACTAAACATTAAAAAACTGCTCTTTTACATTACAAGGAAAATTTACAGCCACAAGGTGGCAATGTGCCATAGACATTGAACAAAATGTTCCATATACTAAACATTAAAAAACTGCTCTTTTACATTACAAGGAAAATTTACAGCCACAAGGTGGCAATGTGCCATAGACATTGAACAAAATGTTCCATAACACCTGGTAGTCCTAGTAAATGCACCAAGAACTGATGACCAACCCTCAAAGCAATCAGGCAAATTAGGGTCCATTCTACTTAGTTATTTTCGCTTAATTACTAGTCAGCCACAGAAAATACAAATATTTATTGTCTAAGGTTCATCAGCTTCTGCTAGTAACTTTTCACCTGAAGTTAAATGTTTCAGCTTGCAGAATTACAATTAATTACTCTGGGGAAAACTGTTATATCATAAATTAATGGAGGATAGAAAAATAAGCAGATGAAAAAAAATAAGGAATGTGATTTCCTTACATATTTCCAACAAAACCATAAAAGGCATGAAACAAATGTGGAAGAAAGAGAAGGAAAGCAATGGGAAAGTACATGAGAAAAAAGGAATAAAAGAAAATCTATTTCATCACATATATAGAGCCACAGCCATTAGTCCATAAGCCAGGGTTTTTAATCAGAATCACAACCCCAAGAGGTGAGTACTATTTTAAATCCAGAAAATTGAGGCCGTGAACTGTGAGGGCTGCAACTGTTTCAAACACAATATGAGTTGAAAAACCTAAAAGCATAGTACAATGTTCCAAGATCCTCCCAAAAGGGCTCTCTCTAAATAGATCATTTTTCCAAATTTGCTGTGTTGTCAGTGGCTTTACTATTCTTTCTACAATTAGTCAAAGCTTCTCAAAATGGTCCACTACAGCCCTGCAATTTATATTTCATTTTTTGTCCTGATTCAAACATTCATGATTCCTTTAAAAACACTTCATCACACTAGAGCTTACAGTAGACAGCAAACCCGTCACTGTGGAAATTCCCCTTTAAATGACTGCAATTTAATGTTTTCCAACATTTTCAAACTCCCAAAGTCTTTGTACTACAAAGAGTTTAACTAAAGACTCTTGAAACTTTCACTGATGTTCAAGGGCATCTAAGGTTGGGTTTGTTACACTTGCTTCAAACACTTCTAATTTTCCTCACTAAGCAGACAGTGGACTCCCAGAGAGCCAAATCTGACTCCCTTGTCACCTAGCCACAGAGAATTCTAGATTGAAACACATTCTCCAGAAATACATCCTTACTTCATTCGCCAACAGCAAATATCAATTCCTGATGACTGGGTTTGCTCAAAACCTGCTTCTGCAACCTCCTTTAGTTACAAAAAGAACAACTGTATTACTCAGTTTCCTGTCACTTACAACAACACCTGAAACTGGGCAATTTATTTTAAAGAAAGAGAGAGAGAGAGAGAGAGAGAGAGGTGGGTATTTCTTTACAGTTCTGAAGGCTGGGAAGTCCAAGTTCAAGGAACCACATCTGGACTTCTTCCTGGTGGGGACTCTCTGCAGAGCCCTGAGGCGGCACAGGGTATCACATGGTGAGGGGAAAAGAGAACATTCACTTGCTCACATGCTCATCCTGTGATAACCCACTCATCCATTTAAGGGCAAAATGTCTGAGGCTAGACAGAAATTCCTCCTTGGAGGGAATGCACATTCAAACCGTAGCAGCCACAAAACAGTTCTCAGAGGTGTATTTGCACATTATTGAATTTAGAAGTCAGAGAGATGAAGATGTAGCACACCACCTACACATAAGTAATGCACAATTGCTCTTGCTATCAGTTTGTCACAGGAAGCATGTAACCATGTTAAGGGTCAAAAGGTGTATAGCTATGGTAAGTCTGACGTAGATTTGAGGGAAGTCTCGAAAATTATTAGTCCTACGGAAATGCTAATCATACATAATTCATGTAAG